AAATTACTGAAATAAATACATGCTGAGAAAGAGCCTGTGACCTTACTTAGGTTGGTGAGTTAAGAGGATGTCAAAGGCCCAGGGTGCTTACGCTGAGCTTCCCTCTGCAGTGGGGCTCCAAGTGAGCCCCTATTGGGTTGTCGGGTCTTGCGACCAGCTGCCAGTGAGGGCAGTACTTTCCATCAGACTCAGCTGCACAGGTCAATTTGCTCAAGTAAAGGAAACTGACTATAAAACAGCATCAGAAATGGGGCGGCTCTCAGGAATAAGTCTTTCATCCTCCCATGGGACCATCTGTCTCTTTTTGCATTTTCCTCCCTTGAAAACAGCTTTTTATCATTACTCAGCTTATCTGTTTCCTCTAAATTCGGGCTTGCACTTCGCCTTGACTTGCCCCAGCCTTCTGATGCCTGACTGTGTCTCGGGGCATCTCCTGATGCTTCCTTCCTCCCTCATCTGCCTTTCTTCCCTCAGTTTCCTCATTTCAGCTCTCCAGGAGGACTGAGCCAGATTATCTTTTGTACCATCCTCCAGCTCGGAGTCAGAGTTCTATGTCATTAAGCCAAGCTCTGGGTTGGGTCAAGTGGTTATTCCCAACCTTTCTGAGTGGCTAGGGAGACAGGATCAGGTGGTGCAAACCTGGCCACATCCCCACTTAGCTGGGTTAAAGGTGGAGCCTGAGTGGGCTCTGAGGCAGCACTCTATAGAGAACATAATCTTAGCAGTCTACAGAGAAGAGATCGTAATCTTCTTGAGGATAACATTTGGCAAAATAAAGCATGTCTTTTGAAAGGCACAGAACTTTTGCATAAGCTGTTGTTTGCATATGTTTTAGTGGCACAGTACTTTGGGTCGTTTAAGCTTTTTTTTTTGTAGTAGTGATAAATTCCACGGAAACACATTGCCTTGGCCAGTCCCATGTGATGACAGCCATTTATTTGTGAGAAGGTAGGTTAGAGGGATGCTGTTCTGCGTGATGGGGTATTTTTGTTTGGCGCAGTCAAAAGCTTGGTTGAGACAAAAGTTTTTCTGCTCTTAACGTAAGTAGTCGCAACAAAGAAAATCCTTGTGGATTATTGTAGATTTCACATGTGACAGTGTTTGTGAACTGTAGAGCACTGTGCACACCCATGTTCATGGTGTCCAGCTGATAGCGAGATAGGGGCTCTGCTTAGTTGTGACCTGGTAGCTGCATCTTGGGTAGGAGAACAGTCCTAATGTCTCTGCGACTCCTTTGTGGCTTGTTTTTGGGCCAGACAGAGGCGTGGGAGAAGCACATAGTCTTCCACATAGTCATAGGCTCTGTCATACCTGGCTCGCTCCAGGTAAATCAGTGAACTGGCAGCTTTTTGTATTTGGCAGCTCATCAAAAGCAGACATCTTCAAACTGAAGTACGTGTACCCTTGGGAGACAAAAGGATTCTTAAGAGTTATGCAAGCAGCTTGGAAAATTAATTAAAGGAATCAATTTCCAGATTCTCAACTGCTTTTTGTATTTTTTCTTACAATTGTTCTGTCTGAAAATGGGCCATTGGTCCATGTTCTCACCTCCCCTTTTGAAACTGTCTTTGTCCTACTTTTTGAAAAAAAGCATCCTGTGCCCCATCCCTCTGCCCACATCCATCCCAAATGTTCCCCCCCTGCTTTGTCCCAGAGCGTAAGAACTGTTTGTGGGGCCAGACAAGGGAGTATAAATGCAGGTGTTGAGAGCAGAAAGCATTTTGCCTGCTGGGTTGCACATCCCCTGGGCCAGGTGTTTTCCAACTTTTTGCTTTTATCACAATTGGGGGAAGACTTATCAGCTGCTAGATCATTCAAAATGATTTTTGATGATAAATTCTATATTGCTTTTGGTATACAATTCAAGAGAAGTTCAAGCCATTGAGCGACATTTGTATAGCAAATTCCTTCCATTCACAACTTTTAACTCTGTGAATAAGGTTTATTAGGATTTACAACTTTAAAAGTTAGGATGGAAATAAGATTGTTGCTGAACCTGTCTCATTCTAGTAAGAAGTATTATTAATGTAGGGCTAAACAAACTTATTGAGAAAGAAAAAAAACCCCAATTCTTTCATTGCCAAGGACATTTCCAAAAAAATTACACTTTTAGTATTCAATATTTGTTTATCAAGATTTAAATTTATGTTTTGATGGATTATATACCACTCATCCTGATAATGATAAGCCAATCCAGGAGAAAAAAATTTAAGACTTAGAGATCTGTGATCATAGGAAACAAAAAATATTCAATTTATATACATTTTTGTTGCAGAGAAGTATGGTAGGGTAATCAATGTAAGATTTTCAAGTATAAAATTATATTGCACTAAGGTATATGTAGGGGAGGGGAATGGATATATGAATTCAAGAAAAAAAATAATGTAAAATTCCTGTTAAGAATTGTGTGCATATATTTTATGCTATTGATGGTGAAAATAGATTGCAGTGGCATTATGATCCATTGGCTGCATCTAAAATAGTGCTGCAACAGTTTTATTTTATAAGTCACCCTCTACAATGTTCCAGATTACACTCTTGGCAAGTATTTGAAGAGAAGATGAAAGTTTTTAGATGTTAACTTAAAAAAAAAAAGAATAGGGGGTGTGCATAGGTTTTTCAAAATTCTTATGGGTGTGTGAGAGCAGAAAAGTTCAAAGGCGGCTAAGCTGGGATGTCACTTGGGAGAAGGGACACATATTGGAGTCAAAAAACCCCAGTTCTGCCATGTATCAGCTTTGTGACTTTGCACAAATGGCTTCAACTGATCCAGTTTGTTTTTCTTGTACAATGGAAGGAATACTTTCCTTCCTAAACTGAGGTGAAAACAAGGGACTTGATGTGAGCAGAGAGTGCTACATAGAATCAATAAGTGTCAGTTTCTCCTCACTCCCCTGAGGCTATTATGATTCCTTTCTCCGTCTCCCTCATTCTCCCTTTCTCCACTCCCTCATGTATGTTCAAAGTTAGCTTCATCTTAGGTCCCCTATGAAATATATTTGATTCACATTCTAAAGATCCCAAAGTATCTTCCATAAATCCATTCATCCAACAGACATATATTGAGCACTTAATATATTTCAGGCACTATTATGGCACTGGGAATATATCCATGAATAAAAAAAGACTAAATCTCTATTGTCATAGAGCTTATATGGTAACTAAGTGCATGGTGATGAGGATGCATTGACTACTCTCAGTCTAGCAAAGACTTTTCACATTGGGCAGTCCATTGACTAATGGGAGACCAGTTAGATTCCTGCAGATTGACCCAGCCATCCAGCCATCCACCTGCCAGCCATTCAATTAAAATGTACTGAGAAACTCCTAGATGTTAGGAGCATGAACCAGGATGAGACAATCTTTCTCTGAAAGGCGACCACAGCAACATTGTTTTAATAAAATCCCCCTTTGTGCACCCTTTATTGCAGTATGTGTGTAGATAAATTGCATCGTGTATCTATTTTGGGGTTAAAATGCACATATCTCTGGTTTTCTTCAATTTTTGATTGTATTTCCTATTTGTTTAAAATAGGAAATACATTTTGAGTGATTCAAACTAATTTGTATATTCCTTCCAAAGCAATAATTTGTTTTGTTGAGATTTGCTTCTAGAATGCGATTAAAAAAGTACTTAAGATGTTGGACTTAGGGATGGGAAAAGACCTGGGCACTCAAAGTGGTTCTTTTTCTACTTGATTTTGAAACTGCATCGTGGAATGCTGTTCTACCACTTACTTCGAAAACTAGTCTCCCCTAAATACAGCATTGAGTTAGTTTATCTAGATTTTGTCCAGAAATTTAAAAATAACTTGTAACATTCAATATTCTCAGTTTCGTTCTCTCTACACAATTCTTATAGTTACAAGTCTTCGGAGAAGCCTGAGTTTTTAAAATGAGACATTTTAATTCTTTGAGCCAAAGAGGTCTTTTATCAAAGTATGGGGTTCTTTGAGTTAAAATATTTTTCTTTTTTTATTGAGATAAAGTTCACAAAATAAAATTCACCGTTTTAACTCTTTAAAGTTTATAGTTCAATGGTTTTTAGTATATTCATAATGTTGTGCAACCATCACCACTACTTAATTCCAGAACATTTCTGTCACCCCGAAAAGAAACCCTGTACCTCCTAATTTTCCCTTCCTCCAGCCCCTGACAATTACTAATCATTTTTTGTCTCTATGGATTTGCCTATTCTGGACATTTCATATACGTGGAATCATATAGTATTTAACTTCTTTCATTTAGCATCATGTTTTCAAGGTTCATCTATGTTGTAGTATGTATCAGTACTTCATTCCTTTTTATGGTCAAAGCCATTGTATAGATGTAGCACATTTTGTTTCTCCACTCATCAGTGGATAGACATTTGGGTTGTTTCCACGTTTTGGCTATTATGAATAATGCTGCTATGAATATTCATGTACAAGTTTATGTGTGAACATATGTTGTCACTTCTCTTGGGTATATACCTAGGAATGGAATTGCTGGATCGTATGGTAATTCTAAGTTTAAATTTTTGACGAACGGCCAAAATTTTTTCCATAGCAGTTGCGCCATTTTAAATTAAAATATTTTTATATATATTTGCTGTATGTGTGCAAAATGTGTATTTGGGAGTTCTTTTCCTAGTTTCAAAAAGCAAAAAAAGCACTTGAGTGAATTTTGACTTGAATTTTCAAGGGAAAAGATTAAGTCCAAGAAAATTTCACTTAGCAAAATGAAGCAATAATTTTCATACAAGCATTATATATATATATATCTTTCTATTTCCAAAAAATATATTATGACATATAAAGAATTTGAGAATATTTTTATTTCTAAGAATAAAAATTGATAATTGTTCAGTTTAACCATCGCTAAGGAGAGAGAATGTCAAAAAACTGTTGAAGTTCCCCTTTTGAAAATTCTTCCATTACTAGCTATGAATAATGAAGTAATTATTTTCATTATAATGAATACTGTGTTTTAAGAGATATGTTTATATTTAACATCTACAGACTTTAAACCCAGGACATAGACCTTCATTTACAAATGGGTGTTGTCTGGAAGAAACGAGAAGATTGGCAGAATTTTTTTTAAGTACCAAGACTTGACTGTGACATACTCCGCGCACATGGCATTTATAAGATGCTCTTTCAGGTGGACCAAGCCCTTGGCCATAGATCCCTGGTGAGTGTCCTCAGTGTGATCACTTGCTTTTATTCAATAATTTCTCCTAAATGTTGGTTCTATAGGTATAAAACATATAAATGCTTCATATGTCAAAAAGCCAAATCGTTTTAGAAATCTGTGGATTATGCTAGCCATTTTGTGACTCATTTTTAGTATTAAACACCAATCCTTGCTACTCGCCCTGGATTGCATCCACATAACCATCCAATGGGAGGATGCACATCTAAAGGCTGCAGATTCTTACCCTCTTACTTGCTAGGTTTGAATAGCAGAAACCTTGCTAGATGCCCAGAGCAGCAGGATCCCAATAACTAGTAGAGTTAGAACAGTGCACTTCATGAGTGTGGTAGTCAGGATAATGACCCCTATAGATGTCCAAATCCTGACCCCTGGAGCCTGTGAATATGTTCTGTTATGTGGCAAGGGGGAATTATGGTTGCAGATGAAATTAAGGTTGCTAATCAGCTGACCTGGTGATGGGGACATTGTCCTGGATTAGCCAAGTAGACTCAGTATAATCATAAGAGTCCTTAGAAGTGAAAGAGGGAGGCAGGAGAGCGGGAGTCAAAGAAGGAGATGCGATGATGGAAGCAGAGGTGAGAGGGATGAACAAGAGAGAGACTTGACCTGCCGTTGCTGGCTTTGAAGGTAGAAGGAACCATGAGCCAAGGAATTCAGACAGCCTCTGGAATCTGGAAGCCTCCAGAAGGAACACAGCCCTGCTGACGCCTTGATTCTCACCAGTGAGACCCATTTCAGACTTCCGACTTCCAGAACCATAAGATAGTAAATACATGTTGTTCTAAGCCACTGATTTTGTGGCAATGTGTTGCAGCAACAATAGGAAATTAATATAAGATTGTTAAAAGTGACTAAAAAAAATTGGGAGTTAAGGAATGTTAAATAGTGAGAAATATGAAAAGTTTTGGAGCTGATAAACATGTATTTATGGGCAATGAAGGAGAGTGTTGGGGGCCAGCCTGGTGGCATAGCTGTTAAGTTCATGTGCTACACTTTGGTGGCATGGGTTTGCGAGTTCCCTGGTGTGGACCTACACATCACTCATCGAGCCATGCTGTGGTGGCATCCCACATACAAAATAGAGGAAGATTGGCACAGATGTTAGCTCAGGGACAGTCTTCCTCACCAAAAAGCAGAAGATTGGCAACAGATGGTTGCTCAGGGCCTACCTTCCTCAACAACAACAACAAAAGGAAAGCATGTGTAGTGGGAAGGAGAATGTATTTATTTCAGAAATGCAATCAAGTCATATTTATTTGAAGTGCATATGGAGGAAAATGCAATGTAATCTTAATTTTGAATGCTTCTTTAAAGAAAAAAAGAATTGTCGTGTTTTAAAATATATCCAGCAGCAGGAGGAGCCAGAAGAGCATAATGGGGGTTCAGATCTGATCTGAGCCAGACCTCTCTGTGCCATTCTGTCTGCAACATTTTGAGCACATTTGCTCTTGTGGAAAATGTGGAAAAACATACCGTGCCTACAGTTTCAATGAGACTATATATGTGGAGGCCAGAACTACTAAAAGATGTAACCTATCCTTATTTACAAATGTCCAAGGTGATAAGGACCTATTTAATAAATAGTAGCTGTAAATACTTCAGCTTGGTTTAAAATAGTATACTCCCAGTGTTCAACACCTCGTTCACCTTTTTATTCTCTTCATTTACTTGGTTACTACTCTGTAATGCCAACCTGGAATTGAACTGAATTTTTTCAATTCAATTGAATTGAAATTTATTGCAATTGTCATGAATTCCAATAGAAGTGTCAGGGAGAATGGGGACCTCAGAGTGGCAGCCAGTCTGTGTGGGCTAGACCCCCACCCCCGTCTCCCACCTCCTAGTCAGGGGCTCACCCAGAGGCGTGGCTCTGTAGATTCCTGTTGTGTTTGCCAGTATCTCAGCACAAGAGGAAGGTAGAGGGTGGAGAAAGCAGGCTCTCTTAGGACGTGAGGTTTCTGAGAGGAGAAGGCTCTATGCACAACAAAGGAGACAAGGATGGCAGAGAAATCATGGCCCAGTTCTCCTCCCATCCATGGGGATTATGTGACCAGGAGCTCCAACTCCATCCTAGCTTGTTCAAGGATCAAAGGAGATGATGGATGTGGAAGCTCTTTGACAAATATAAGCTCTGGTCAGACATATGCGACTGTTTGGTGGTTGTCTTAGATCGGGCTGCTGTGACGAATACCACAGACTGAGTGGCTTATAAGCAATAGAGATTTATTTCTCACAGTTCTGGAGGCTGGACATCTGAGATCAGGGTACCAGCACCGTCTGTTCTTGTAAGAGCCCTTTTCCAGGTTGCAGACTGCCGACTTCTCCATGTGTCTTCACAGGGTGGAAAGAGCATGGGAGCGCTCTCTGTGGTCCCTTTTATAAGGGCACTAATCTCACTCCACCATCATGACCTAATCAACTCCCAAAGGCCCCGGCCCCTAATAATATCACGCGGGGGTTAGGATGTCAACATTTGAATTTTGGGGTGGGAGGGGAGTGTAAACATTCAGTCCTTAAAAGTCGTCTATTTTGATTTCATCTCTCCTGTTAAAATTTCTTTATAATAATATCACCCTGGTTGGATTTCTGCCTCGCTTATAAGACCCTGAACTACTTAACTCTTCCCTCGCTATTTCATATTATTTCCCTTCTCCTCCAAGCCATGTCCCCAGTCCAGTTATGTTTTCTCCCATTTTCCCTCCTTCCAGTTGGTTCCACTTACTGGCATCCAGCACACACTGGTCTTTGCACTGTCCCTGAACACAACCACTTCCTTCCCTCTTCCTCTCGTTTCCTACTGAGACTCATCTTCTTCGAGCCATCTATATATCCAGCTCTCACCTTGTGAGTGTCCCCACGGTACCCAGCACAATGAGGACTCCACTCACGGGCTGTGAGTACTTCTCGACGAGTTAAAAAGAGGAAAGATAATGATGTCAGCCAGAGTGAGGACATTTATCTTGTCACTGATGACAATCAGCTGGTGACAGCAGCCTATTAAAAATAGAAAGAAGCTTTCTGAAATTAATTCCTTTGTTCTTTTTCTTTTCTATTTTGCATGAAAATGAACAGTTTAAATTAATCTGCATTTTTGTTTTTTCCTAGGTCACTTATACTCATTCTCTTTTCTGTACAACATGTGTATGGGGTAAGTACATTAATTAGCTCTGATTGCATGTTGAAAATTCACTTTATTGAATGTATTATTTTTATTATACTTTTAAACAAGTTACTCCCTGCGACTCAGTGTTTTCATCTGTAAAATGAACTGTTAGACTAGATTAACTCTAAGGTTTCTTTTATATTTTACAGTCAAGATTACTTACCAAATTGCCTAGGTATTGGGGATTCCTTTGTTTTATAACATAACCCTTTCTTAAAAACTTTTTTCAGAGAGAGACAGGAAGCAGCTTGGCCATTTCAAGATTAAATCAAGAAGTATAAGACTAAATTTGAACATTTTAACTCTGGAGAAAGATAAACCTAGAACATTCTGTAATAAGCCCTCTTCCTTCTGCTTCCTCACTAAAGAACCTAAGTTATTGAACCCAACCTCAGGCATTTCTGGGAAGTCTTGCTATGGGCCGCCTATAACTCAGGTTGATCTTGAGACAGCTGGACTGGTTCAATCAGTCTAGTGAACGCGTCTCTAGCTGTCCACTCTCTCTAGCTTGGATCCACCCAATCCAATTTCTGTAATTCAAGTTACCATAGGTCTTTTCAAAGCAAATCAAAATAGAAAGTTGCCTTCCGTTCTCCTTTTCCTACCAGTCAGAAGCAGAAAGCACACGCATCAAGGAATGAGAAGCCTTTGGTTCTTGGCTCTGCCATTGATTCATCCCTGAAGCTCTCTAAGACTCAGTTTTTTCCGAGTGAGGCAGGGATGGTAAGACTTGCTCAACTTAGTTCACATGCATTTGAGAGCATGACCTGAATGAATGAACAGAAACACACTGAAATATATGTGTGTGTGGATTTTTTCTATTTCTCTTACTTGATTTTTCTAAGTGTATTTTTGTATTATATTCCTTTTTTGTCCTGTTATAAAAGTCTACAGAGTCCTACATTTCACTTCCTTTGTTTCTTATGTTCCTTATGAGTGGACCTATCATAACTCCTAAACCAAAGATTGTTCTACAATGGACCCTCCTACTAGCTTGTGTTATGCAGAGATTCTAGAGATTTCACACAGAGTGGCTTTGCTGTAGTTGGGTTGTGAGGGTAGAGATATAAATTGATGCAATATCAATGGAAGGCAATTTGGCATTATCCATCAGGATTTTAAATGAACATACCTGTTGTTGACACAGGAATTTCCCTTTTTGGAATTTGTCGTACGTATTTATACTGATTTGCGCATAAAGATGAATGCACAAGATTAGTTGCAGGGTAGTGATCAGTAACGAAAGAAAGGAGATGACTGCCGATCAATAAGGACTGACTAAACACGTTTTTCAAAAAAAGAAAATAGAGGTACAAATTCAGAACAGATTATTAACCTACAAACTAGTAACTCCTTTTCTTGAACTTTCCATGCACCAAGTATTTGTTTAAAAATATCTGAGATGAAACAGATAGTGACTTTTCCTTTTTTCCCTTTGAAGAAGAGGAACATTGATTTTTGAGAATGTTGGTGTATTCCCAATGAATATGGCTTATGCTTTGAATGTTGGCTTATGTGAGATATTGTCTTTATCTTCTTTTAATGGGTTTCTACTATCTGTTTTTAAGCTTCTTCCTCTAAAAATGCCTACCCCCACCCCCTTTTATTTTGAGGAAGGTTAGCCCTGAGTTAACATCTGCTGCCAATCCTCCTCTTTTTGTTGAGGAAGACTGGCCCTGAGCCAACATCCGTGCCCATCTTCCTCTACCTTATATGTGGGACTCCTGCCACAGCAGGGATTGACAAGAGGTGCCGTGTCCGTACCCAGGATCGGAACCTGCGAATCCCGGGCCGTCAAAGCAGAATGTGCACACCCAACCGCTGCACCACCAGGCCGGCCCCGCCTCCCCCTTTTAAAGTGGTGTTTATTGGGATAGGTCTAAGATAGAAGAACTTTGTAGAGACTGAGATGACCCCTTGCTTTTTTCTTTTATTGGTCCAAGTCAAAGCTTTCTATGTGACTATTCTTGTTTCTTTATTAGAATCTGCTAATCTATTTTAAATTGATTCTTCCCTGAGAGGTAATTTTGCTACAAACACCTCAGTAATGCTTGACACAATTAAGTGAAAAAAAATACTATGAAATAATAAGCTTGCCTTTGTTATCAAGCCATCTGATCAACTAACCTTCTTTTTTCTCTGGTTATTTTGATATTTCACTGAACACATAGTGGTGAGCCCTAACCTCGAATGAACCCAACTGTTCAGACTAGTTATTTTAAGTGCTTTCATGCTGTCCCGACCTGGCCCTGGGCATTTAATTTTTTTTTTTTTTTTACCTTATCAGGGTTTTGAACTTAATGTTTCCACATTCATAGATAACAATGTTACTCAAAACTCAAGAGGCGTATGTTTCAGAAACTTCAAATACATTTTTTAACTTAAATTATCTAATTGCTTGGCTCTTGTCAAGGTTCAAATTCTTATATACTTTCATTGACCCATAAGAGTTTTGTTTATAAAGATATCTTTTTTTATTAATGCTTAACGTAAAGATATTTTCTTTTGGATTGTGTCTGACCTTATTTTTCTAGGAAAAAAAGGTCTAAATTTTGTGATTGAAGAGAAAGACATACTGGATAGACCCCTCTCCCTCTTGTGTACATGTATATGTATACACTTGTGTATATTCATATATGCATATACATATTCATTTATATTCGCATACATAGGTGTGTGTATGAATCTCTTTCTTTCTCTCTCTGTATATGTTTTCCATCAGAACTATAAATATTGGTTCAGCTGCTTTATGTTTCCCCATTATACATTGGTCTAAAGGTTTAAGTTTATTGCCTTGAGGTTGCAAAGATCTGTGAATTATAGAAATGCGTGGTTACTACCTCCACATTGCAGTGAGGTCTGGATGAGTCAAGACCATGAACCAGGCAGAGTTTATCCCTGATGCTTTTCTCATATTCCTATCCACGCCCTCAGCTCCTAGCACCTAGAGCTGCTTTTACCACCTGTCCCTCCCAACTGGCAGCCCCTGTCTGTGAATGAACACTCAGTGCTCGTTGTCACTGCAGGTGCATCATGGTGGGTGGTTGTCGTAAAGGGATCTACTTATGGAAACAGTTACTCGGGGACTATATTTTTGTATTGAAGTGACTTATGACTCCAGATGTGGATAATGAGGATTTGTGAGAACAAGGGGCTGACTCTTCCCAAAGGGGCATGTGTGTACGCACGCATTTGTGTGTGTGTGTGTGTGTGTTTGGAGGAAGCATTAAAGTTAAGAAAATATGTGAGTGTGGAGTAACTCTTTAAACGGAGTGTTGAAGAAAAGTTAGGCAAAAGTGGGGAAACGGCCCCAATTATTCAAGTTCAGGAGCTTTCTATTGAGAGACCCGTTAGAGGAACCATTCTGGAGTATCAGAAAGTCGTAGGAAGAACAATTTTAATCTGAAATCCAAGGCTGCGACTGGAGCATTGACCCAGAAAGGACTTGATCTTGAAGGTAAAGCAAGAGGTTCCTGAACAAAAAGCCACGCTTATAATTTAAATTAGACACCATTGTGTACTTAATGGGTTTCCTAACTATATTGTTTACGCTCTAAGATTGTTCACATCTTACTAAATGAAGTCTTACCAAGAGAGAGAAATGGCAGAAGCTTCTGGTTGAAGCAAAGTGGCTTCAGAAGGAGGCTTTTAAAAAAATCCTAGCTCACATAATTTATCCTACTTCACACAAACCTTTATTTGGCTCACATAGTCACCTTTTTATTGTCAAGCCACATTGTAAGTTCTTTGCCTTTTTATATATCAATATTAGTCTTTTCTTTTCACAGATTCAGAGGTAAAGGTATACTGTGTATAATTCTCATGTGTTAGGTGAACCAGAGTGCCTGTCATGATGCGTATCAGGTACCCAGCAAAGTGATGAATATCGATGTACTAAATCAGGTGCTTTCACCTTCCAGAGCGGAAAGAAGTTTATTGGTCCTTGTGGAGGAAGAGATTGCTCTGCTTGCCGGTGTTTTCCTGAAAAGGGGTCTAGGGTAAGTGACGTACAAATCAGCACGGACAGTGAGGGAGGGGAAAATGGGGAGCTGCTAATCAACGGGCGTGAAGTTTCAGTTAAGCAAGATGAATGAGCCCTAGAGCTCTGCTCTACAGCATTCTACCTCTGGTCAACAAGAAAGTATTGTTCACTTAAAAATTTGTTGAGCAAGTTGATCTCATGTTAAGTGTTCTTACCACAACAAAATTAAAAAAAAAATCAACATGGACAGCATCCTGAATTTTGAGCCATTGTATTTAACATTAAGCAGTCCCAGATTCTTAGCATGTTCTGGTAATCAGCGATATTTACATCTTTTACGATCAAAGTTCTATAGACTCTGATAAGCAATCCCAGTTATAGTAGACTACGTGTCAAGCTTAGAAGATAATCTGGGAAGCAGTTTTATATAATGTTTTATATAACACTAGTTGTGAATTGCCTTTTGCAGAAAGGGTCCTAAGTGCCAGATGGTACATACTGGGTCGCTCTCTTGATTTTCATGTTGCATATCAGCATTTTAAAGGCTCTGAGAAGTACTGCAGTGAGAAAAAAAAAAAGCCTGTTTAACTTTGTTTAAAGTAGTGTTTCCAGACATTTGGCCATAAGACTCTTCTTTGGATAACATCTTTTGAAATCCTGTGGAATGGTGTTCTGTAATTGAAGCCACAACTGCACTTATTGTGTGCTTCTTATATGCCAGGCACTGTTCTACATGCTCAAAATGCTTTAGCTCACTGATTCCTCACATGTCTTATCATCTTATTGTACCGACTTTGCAGTGCCAGAGACCGAAGCACACAGCAATCTGGTCTCCTGCTCAAGTCCACCCAGGACGGTGCTCTTGATGACAACACTAGGTTCTCTGTCCTGCAGTGCGCAAGAGCCCTCTTGGTTACTGTGTCTCGGGTCCCTTGAACATTTATGAACCTCTCTCTTATATTCTGGTAGCAGCAGCTGGCAGCCTGCTAACTCACTTGTGCTGGAGTATTGGACCAAACAATTATTTTGGTTAAAAATACTCCCCCAATCTTACAAGAAAGGAATATGTTTCAGAAGCTTTGGACATTTTTGAGTCAGATCATCCTTTTGAACGTGTCCAAATCAATCCAACAGGGCTGTGTGTGATGCTCATAAAACACAATTCAGGGGCCGGCTCCGTGGCTGATTGGTTAAGTTCCTGCGCTCCGCTTCAGCAGCCCAGGGTTTCACCAGTTCAGATCCCGGGCGCGGACATGGCAACGCTCATTGGGCCATGTTGAGGTGGCGTCCCACATGCCACAACTAGAACGACCCACAACTAAAATATACAACTATGAACTGGGGGAATTTGGGGAGAAGAAGCAATTAAAAAAAACACAAAACACAATTCAGTTAAGATCAGTCTTCAAGGATGCAGATCGTTTTCTTCCTGAGAGAAGGGACCATACGTTTCTCTCACAGCATCACTTTGTGTTCACCCAGTAGGTGTGCAATATGGATGGGCTACCTTTGTTGAGCCGTTTTCCTGTAAGCATCCATATTACTGAGCTTCAGTTGTGACAAACTGTTTTGTTTCTTCTTCAATACATTAAAAATTTTGGTGATCAGAATTTATCTTGAGCTTTTTCCAGCCACTTTCATGATACAGTTTAAAAACTGAAGCTGCAAGGAAACAAAATTAAGTCACTAAAACCTAGCAATCTAAGACGTGCTTTATCCTTTTCCCATGTAAATGGACACATTATTCAGGAAAAAAAGAGCCTGGCTTTTGTGTGAAGTTGTTAATATAAACATAACAAGATTGTATAAACAAAAAAGAAAAGAAATCAGTGCATCTTAATTTTAAGATCCTTTGAGCTTGAGACCCAAGAACAATGGATTGATCGGCTCTGTGGCAGGAAGGAGATGGAAACACCACAAAACAAAGTTCTCGGATAAAGCCAGCTTGGTGTGGTCCTCTGGTTTAAATGAGGCTGAGAGTTGTTTTAGTGGGGACATTTGGTGATGTCCAGAGACATTTTTGGGTTGTCACAATTGAGTGAACGAGGGACTACTGGCATCTAGTGGGTTAAAAAACCAGGGATGCCACTCAGCATCCTGCAATGCACAGGACAGTCCCCAAATACCAATTGTGCCGAGGTTCAGAAACCCTGCTCTAATCCTACAACAGCTCTGTGAGGCCAGTATGATTATTATTTCCATCTATCAATACAAGAAACTCAAATTTGCAAGAGTTTTAAATAACTTGCTGGTATGTGGAAGAGGCAGGAACCACACCTGGGCATCTGGCTTCAATCCCAGTATTTACCCCATGATCATGAGAAGATGGTGACCCTGAGGCTCAAACACCAGGTTTTAGTCATAACTTTGTGAAGTCTGTGGACACTTTAATCTGCTCCAGCCTGGGTTTCCTCTTATTTACACCATTGGTCCTTTCTGTTCTGTTTCCTTGGGCTGTTTGACATTCACAGGCAATTGAATGCCTACAGGGTGCAATTTGCATTCTGTAACGCAGTCTTCTAGCACCCCGGGTTATGAGGGCTCTCGGGGATGAGCTGCACTCTGCCGTCTGTGTCCCTGTTTCTGGGTGGTCAGGGAGAGCTGTGTGCGGAACACGGGTCAACCTCTGCCCTTCCTGAGATAAATGGGTCCCGTATGAAGGCTGCAAGTTGGCGTTGACCTTGTCCAGCTGGGAATTTGGGGGCGTGGCTTGTGAGTAACTGGGAGGTGGTTTGGAAGGCTGGAGCTCCCAAGCCCTCATCAGCCAGCCAACTCACATCCCATCTCCCGAGCTGCAGTGACAGCTCATGGTGCACTATAAAAATAGGAATACACTAAATTCCGGAGGGTTGAGCATCTGCCTGAGATGGCACAGCCCATCACCAGGATAGCCAGGCATTCCTAAGAAAGAATTGATTAGGTACTGTCTTATGGCTTAATGCCTGAGTGAGTAGTTTGTTCAAGCTCCAAATTAAAACTGCTGTGTCTAAAGCAAGTGTTGGGGAGCCAGGCTGGCCCCACACCGTGGAACGACTGTGGGTAGCATTTCAACTGGAGACTGAAGCTAGAGTTTGAGGTGGAGCTGGGGCATATCTAAGGCAGGGAACAAAGGGTGGCTCCTTCATTGCTGACAGAATGAAGCCCAGCCTCACCAATGTACCATTGGATGCCCACAGTCTGGCCTCAACTAGTGTTTTCTTCAGTCATCGCTATTATTTCCTCTTCGATCCTCTCCACCAGCATCCGTTAGCGCCCTCACTCTCCCTTGAACATCATCTGAACATCCCACTTCTCATCCTTTTCTGGAATGCCTTCCCGCTTCCCCTCCGCCTGGTCTTTCCTGTCTTCCGCAAACGAGCTCAGTGGTGATGTCCCATCCCCACCCCCCGCTTCCCTCACAGGCCTCCTGCTGATCCCAGCCAGTATTGATGACCCCTGGTGGGAACCTGGTTCCCTGCCCTGGCACTTCTTCCCTGGCCTCCAGCTCTGTTTGGGTTTCAGTGTGGATGTGCCTGACTCTCTCGATTAGATGTAAGCATGTGCTTCTGAAAGGTGGTCGTATGGGCACATGTGAAATGTTTATGCTGTCTCCAGGCCCGGAGTGAACACTCTAGAAACAAAAATTACCTACTTATGTTTCTCCTCTTTAAGAACTGGGGTCATTTTTTGGTGCTTCTTTGAGATGATCTCAGTAGATGGCACCTAATAGGTAGTTAATACACATATATCAATAATTTAAAATTCAGACTGCAGCCTGGACAGGATTTGGGAGCCTGAGCTGGTGGCCAGGCCAGCCTGCAACATGCATGTAGGGATGCTTCCCAAATCCTAGGCAAGGGGGAATAGAATTAGCAGGAGTCTCTCCTCCAGTCCCCCCACCCCCACCCCCATGCCCACCTCCCAGCCTTTAGATCTATTATTAAATGAGAAACCTCACACAGCCTAAATTCCCCTGTGAATTTCAGGTAGGGCCAGAAGTAAGTGCTTTGAGCAGCAGAAACATGCCTGTTGCTGCATTCGGACCTCTTAGGCCTTCCGTAGCATCCTGGAAAGAGCTGGAGTCTCAGGGCTTACCTCTTTGGTCTCTTTTGGGTTCAGAGCCCTCACCTGGGAAACAAGGGTTTGTATGAGAGGGCTGGTCCTGGCCTTCCCAGCCTGTGCTTCTGTGATATGGGGCATGGCTCTTCACATATGACAGCTGTATGATTGGCTTCCAAAATATTTTGTGACTCTGCCCTAACATTTCCCCAAACTTCATTATAGTCCTTCTTTGAGGATGTGGCATTGGGCAAGATTTTAAATTATTCACTATCAGTTTCAAGGGAGGAAGTTCCATGTTTTTGATGGTTGTTTCCTTGTAGGGAAAACGATGTGTCTTTATAGACTAGGATGGGACCTTTTATAAAGTCTGCTTTAGTAACTAGCATGATAATAAAGACACCTTCTATAGTTTTTTCTAGAATAAAATATGTCTATATTGTTTTCCATTTAAGGGAGTCTAGCAACTGTTACGTCAATAGAACTTTGCAGTTTGGTGGTTTTATATACAAGGAGGAAAAATGTCTTAAAACTCAAGATCTGTCTTAGGTTTTGGACTTTGAAAACTAAAATCCCACACTGGCAATTGAGTCTTTCCTTTGGGAATTTTAAATCACTAAAAAATGTACAAGTATTTTTCATGCAATCTCATTCATTTGCTCTTTAAGCTCCTAATGGCCTTCATTCCATGATAAAAATGGAATTTACTGGGGAAATTTTAATTATTGTTAACATTTTCCATATCATTAAATTGTTTGCACACAAAGTTCTAGAACTTAATCTCTTCATCATTCACACAGCTGTGTTCTAGCACACGCTATAACTATAGCCTGATAACTGGTTCAGAGCAATCATTTTTATGCCCCAAAGTTCACAAAAGTCAATTAAGTTATATTGTAATGTAAGCAAGTTCCAATGACAACTGAAAAGTTGGCAAATTTGGTTTGTCACCAACTCCTTAGATTTTTGGTTCTGCTT